GCGGGAGGAAACCGGAATACCCGCAGAAACCCCAAGCGGTTGGGCAGGTGACCAGTTCCTTTCCACATTTGATAGGGGAATCGAACCCGGCTACCTTGGTGAAAGGCAAGTGTGCCATCCACTGCACAACCTGACCACCCAAGGAGAAGTCAACAGTCAACACTTAGGGCCAAATCCACATGTGGATCTGCAGCTTGCTACCAATTCCATGTTTCCAAAATATCACCATTGCTAGAGTGTAGACTGTGTTAACATGGACTAGTAACATTATTGTGGTGGCCTACTGTATAGGTTAATAGCTGGAAAGAGTAGACACTGCAGCATTATTTATGCATTCTCTACATCAGGTCCGATTTACCCGAATCAAATGTGAACGTTGGATTACATTGGTTTTTTTTTTAATTAAGTTGAACCCAACACCAGTTGTCTATAAACCACAAGTATATTAGTCAGCTCACTGCTGTCTCTGGGGAATTTGGCCGATGATTGGTTTTAAATAATTTCGCAGCTTCCCATGTTAATATCTGCACATTCACTGATTGACCCTATGACTACTAAAATTTCTTAATGGGACACCCTTTTTTATAGTTGTAGGACGAGCCACTGTTATTTTTGGGTAAGCCAGAGTGTGTTTGTTGATTTATGTTGGCATTTCCACCTAGTCTGTTCATTGTTTACACAAGGTAATGGTAGTCAGGAAGATGCTAACAGGTGCAGCTACAACACATGTAAGGCATTGCCATACAGCTGGGTCAATAACAATCACACATGGTGCTCCCTACCTAAACAAGCTGTAAGGGTACTGTATACATGTACATATAGACAAAACAGACATTATAAGGTTATGTGTAAGTGACTGGAGAAATACTGTTAAACTTGCACATGCATATGCAATCAGTGGTCTGAAACTACACAAAAGGATGCTGCAAGTTTACGACTCCCATATAATACATTCTGGTCTTTATGTCTTTATGTCAGACTTGTAGCCCATCCTTCATTTTGCAAAGGCAGCATTTGAAGAAAAATGCTGATTCATCGAAACAGAAAATATTGTGCATTGATTGAACTTGAGAATGCAGACATACACGATCTTAAGGATATCAGCCTCCCTCCAACCCCCTCCCCATCACATAACCAGATCAACTGCATCATTAACAGTTTCTGGACAGACTTGTGCAGTTTTTAGCCCACCATCATCTGATGGTGGGCTATTCAAATCACTCTGCGTCCGTGGTCCATCGTCCGTCCGCCCGTCGTCCATCCTTAAACAATTCTTGTTATCATTATTTCTCAAGAAGTACCAAACGGATCTTTCTCAAATTTTATATGTAGGTTCCCCTTGGTCCTAAGCTGTGCAGGGCACTGATCGGATAAACAACATGGCCGACAGGCAGCCATCTGTTATCGCTATATCTCGGGAAGTACTAGAGGGATCTTTCTCAATTTTTAGGTCACCTGAGACAAAGTCTCAAGTGACCTATTGCGATCGCCTTTCGTCCGTCGTCGTCCGTCGTGCGTCCGTAAACAATTTACATTTTCGACTTCTTCTCCAAAACCCCTGAACCAATTTCAATGAAATTTTGCAGGGACCTTCCATGAACAAGGTCAACAAAAAT